ATTCAAGAGATCTTAAAATAGAGCATTTAAAATATTATCAGTGCATTCATGAGGAAAGACAAAATAATACAAAACAAATGTCATTTCTATCTGAGAGGAAAATGCCTGCAGAAATAAAAGTGATTTACATAGAATTAATAGAAAAGTGGAAGACAAAAAAAAAAAAAAATCAAGACACTCAAATCTGGGACTGGGCTGCGCCCACCACAGGGGTCTTTGCTAGTGGGCTTTCCACCTCCTGCCTTTCCAGTTCTCCAACTTGCAAATCCAATTCATCACTTTAACGGTCAGGAAATTCCAGACAAAGAAGTTTACTGTAGCAAGCAACCTCATTCGGGGTTCACACCTCACTGTGCTGCTCTTTAGAGAAACTGCAGATATGCCATTGTTTGACCTATGGATTTTTATCTTAAAACCAAATGTGACAACTGACAAACTGACATAGCCTACAAACCCTGACATAGGGTTACCTGCTCTGCAACGGTGTGTCAAATCACTTATTAAAGCGAGGTAAATTCTAGACTCAAATCTGCGTAACTGTCATGCGGAGAAAAACAAATCTTTTGATCATGGGAGAATTTGGTTGGTGCCTTTTCAATCTTCAAAGAACATCTACAAAAACCTTAACTTCGGTGAAAGAAACTAAATGACTTATATGACCTGTTTTTGTTTACTCCCTTAAATAAAAATCAGCTAAAATGGAACTCTTTCCATTTCCCCCTGAATACTAAAAACCCGATTAAAGAAAAAAATGCTTCCTATGAACTGTCTACTTTTTCATAACAATAGAATTCTGTGAAAACCGAATGAGACAAAACTTTCTTAACTCAGTCACTGAGATTCTGAGCTTGAGTCAGATCCTTAAGCCTTTGCTAAAACATTTCACCTCAATTATCTACGGATCTATAATATTCCCCAATTTTCCTAAAATAGAAGCTTTTTCACGTCTGAATTGATTCGTAGTGATGCTTAGGAGATGAAGACAACTGAACTCAAATCTATCATTTTGCAAAAAAAAAAGAAAAAGACAAGTGGACTCAGGTAGCTTATTTCATAATAATGAACAATTCATAAAAAGCACGGGTGGAGGAAATGCTATAAACATGTATTTTTAGTGCAAGTCAAAATCTAGGGGCTTTTCTCAAAAGTACTGGCCAGCTAAAGGAAACACGCAATTCTGAGTGATCATTAAAAAGAGCCCAAATTTAAGTCCGATTCAAATCATAGTTGACATTATTACAGAACATGAAAAATATGGTAAAAATTTACACATTACACATAAAGTAGTTAATGCTTTGATTTAAACGTTTGCAAAAAAGATCTGCAGATGTGTTTCCAATTATACTGGCTTCTACACCCATGTATTACAATAATATAGGTATGGTTACATATATCAACACTAAAGAAACGGCTAGAGCATAACTATACAGCAATACTTTAAGGTCTGAAGTCGGACCGGTACGTATCAAAGCATTGCACTGTTTTGCTGGTTGACTAAACTGACAAAGAACCGTTAACAATGAAAAAAGAAAAAAAAATCTTACAGACTTATTCTGACTGAAAATTTCCTTTATTAACAGGCTTTTCAGTTTTGAAACTTACAGGAAGCTTCCTTAAGCAGTTGGTACATAGCATGTGTTTTTGGGGTCTTTATCTTACTGCAGACTCGCTTGGTCATACAATCACACACTTGGGTTTTCATCCTGTTTATATGACCTCTTTTTTTCTGGCTCGTTTGAGTTCAAGTTCCTTAAACCATCCATGAGTTTTGGCAAAGGATTTGGTCTCCACTTTATACACCTGTTTTATTTTCCAAGGGCAATGAAATGTTCATTATATAGTAACACACAATAAATAACTCATGGTTAACTCTAAGAGTAGAAGGGGAGGGTGCCTATTGCATAGCAATACAGAAAAATCAAGTGAGGCATGGGATAGGAACGTATGTACAGCAAGTCCACTTAACGGGATTTTCCTGTTTTTTTTTTTTTTTCTTTCACATAATTAACACTAACAAATTCTTCCAGTGTTTATTTTTTCTTAAAAAAAAAAAGGTTTTGCTTCTTGTCTCTCTCACGTACAGAGTAGGTGAAATGTGGAATAAAGCCTTCGACATTTTTTTTTTTGTTTCAGATGCCAGTTTTAACAAACAGAACACAAACTTCCAAAGTGTTTGAACTAGTACCGCTTTTTCAAAATTGGTTTTTAACACTGATGAAGCGAGGCTCTCTTACGTTTCTTGTTACACACGTGGCCTTGGTTGTTGTCATATCATCATCATCATCATCATCATCATCATCATCATCACCGTCATCATCACCGTCATCGCGTGATTATCGTCTTGCCACGTTTCCAAGAATCTTAGCTGCATTTGCAAGACTTTACGATCATGTTAGAAAGCTGTTCGATCTTGGGTGTTTTGCCGATGTAGTAGAGAATGGTTAGCGGCTCTAAATCCTGGGACACGCAGCAAGGGGAAGCAGATGCTTCTGGATTTATGGTATTGTATAAGCTGAGAACCTGGAAGGACACAGGGGAGAAAAAAACGACACAGGAGAAGAGCAAAAATAAAAGGCGATTATTGTTTAAAAACCTTTTCATATCGTTATCTTATCAATCATGGCCCTGTAGGCAATTTAAACTGTTTTTGGTTTATGATTTCTTTTGCTTAACCCCAATTATGGTCAAAATGGGACGTGTCTCTAGGAATCAACGAATTTATCATTTTCCTGCAGAATCCCTTCCTCGTACTTTGTAAACTATTGTTTCTTTAAAATTCAGATTGGCCAACATTGTTCAACGGATTTTCCAGTGTATCCAGCGAGTCTTTACTTTGATCCGCGCTTCGTTGCATGCGCTCCCCAGGCCCTCAGAAAAACAGTTCTCTTAGTATTTGGTCTCATCCCTATACTTCTTTGTCACCGAAGGTATCTCACGAGTGTATGTGTTCAGTTCCCACCCTGTAGACTTTGTTTCTACCTCATAGCCCTAGTCAGTTTTTCTCTGGACAAATAAGACTTATGTCCTAGGTGAAAAAATGAATACGTGGATAAGGAGAAGAAAATTTTTTTTTCTTTTTTTACTAAAACCCCCATCAGAACTTCACCGTTAGGTATAGAAAAAGACACCTGTCTGCAGCGTGAAGTCTTTCTACGCTAAGTGTCTTCTCAGGCCGATTTAATGTCGCCTAGATTTTCATGTACAAGAAAAAACGATGGCCATCTCTTTAATCGTATTACTGCCTCCCAGTTACAATCACGTGAAGAACGACATCAAAAACGGTCGTTACTCTTAACTGTTCACCTCCTTATAGTGTACTTAAAATAAATAAATAAAATAAGAGTAATTACTGATTAATACTAATAATAATCGGCACTCCAGTTAGCTTTCTGGGTCTAGATGGCAGCGGCCGAGTTGGAAGATGGCATAGCCAGAGCTGGGACAGAATGAGCAGAAAGTTCCGGAGTTAGTCCTGTGCCTTTAACCCCCTTTGTTCTATATCAAAGGGAAATGTGACTTTTAGCACTAAAAGTATGCAGGTCCCCAAGTGATGATAAAGAGACATTTCCAAGCATGCCATCAACGTGTTAGTGAAACAAGTTGACCTTTTCCTCGAGATTCACTGCAGCTTTTTCTGCCCAAAACAGAGATCTGTTCAGTGCAGCTACACAGCCGACTTTATTAAGCTAGCTCTGGCTTCCTGGGTAACTGTCCAAACCGCATAACTGTGACCATGACAGTTATTCTTCCTCTCTCCTTGAAAAACAAGCCTGGTCTCAGCCTTCACACACTCCCTCTGTGTATCAGGGAGGGGAATTATGTTTCTACTTGGCAACTGGGCCTTGCCCACATTACAGCTACTGTCGCCACAGCCCAGATGAGGCAGCCTGGCCAGAGAGTTCGGACAAAGGGACAGGCATGAGCGAACTTCCCTCACATGGCCGAGCACATGGTCGGCTCCGACTGCCAGAAGCTACAGGGGAGCTGAGCAAACGGCTGAAGGAAGGGGAGCCATATTTGTCAATTTAAAGTCTAGCAGATGTAGGCATTTATAAATAAATGGACTTCGTGGTCTCCTAGCACATGATTCTTCATAGGAATTCAAGAGAAATTGGATAATATGGATTGTCTGAAATAACTGATCACTCCGAAACTCTTGAATTCAGCTGACTGCATTATGTGATCTTGCTGGCAGCAGATCCGTTTTCCTAGCCCGCAGTGAAGGCAATTTTTCTAATGCCTCTTTAATAAGGAGATTTACAGAGGCGCGACCCCAGTGGGCAGCCACATTTCAGGAACGAAACGCAGTAAGACAGAGGAAACGGGGGCCGAGCTGTGAAACGCGTTGGTCTGCCTTCCAAGCCTTCATCTGTCACCGGCGGTCTGATCTTGGGCAAGCCACCTACATGATCCAGACTCCTTTTTCTTTAGAAAAGGGAAAGGTTTGGGCAAGATAATTTATGAAGTCCTTTTGCCTTCTGATTTAGCCTTCTATCCTCATCGAAGTAACTTGATAAAACATTCAGAGTCTCGTTTCCTTCGGGTTTTATTCGAGAACGAGAGACAAATGTTCAAATCGTGTTCACATGTCTCAATCACCTCTCTGTTCCTCGCATCGGCTCTCGAGTTTGCCTTTGTTGATTTTAAAGGTAAATTTTTAATAGCAACATTCCTTTTTCCTATAAGAAATTGAGGTTCAGAAAGGTGAAACGACTTTCTGATTGTCATACACTTGTGACTCACGATGCAAAAGCGTCTCCTCAATGTTCTCTCGAATATGACAGTCCCTGACGTGGGTGATAACGGATCCTTTTCTCGATGGGGACCTGGGTCCCTGCACATCTCTGCCGCACGTGACACTAAGTGATCCAGTGATTCCAAAAGTGTTTCTATAGCTACTTATTTATACTTCCAGCTTTTAAAAATAAAAAAATAAAAAAAAATAAACAAGGAAAAAAATAAACCAAACTGTCCTCAAGGTGCTTATAATCTACTTGGGAAGGGACAGCCACTGTTCCGACTGACCAGTGTTCCTTTCTGAGTTCACCTACAGCCTAACAGCCCTCGTGGATTTCTCCTCCACCATTTATGTGCGAAGACCAAAGGGTACCAGGCCAGTTAGAATTCAGAATTCAGTTAAAAATACAGCTGACCCTTGAACAACAGGCATTGGAACCGAGCGGGTCCCCTTATCTGTGATTTTTTCCAATACGTACACAGTCAGCCATCTGTAACCCCAAGTTTCCCATCCCCAGATTCAACCAACTACGGGTCAAAAGCAATGTTTTCCACAAGCGGTTGGAAGTCCGCAGATGCAGATGACCGACTGTAGGCTTTGTTCCACGCCATTTTATGTAAGGCGCTTGATTTGGGTATTCCTGGAAGGTTCTAGAACCAGTAGCCCGTGGACACCAACGGACGGCTGCAGTTATGTTTTGTGGGAGTCGTAAGCGAGGAGTTTGGACTGTAGGGGAGGTGTCGGTCCTTCACTTCCACATGGTTTAAGGGTCAGCTGTCCTGTGAGCAGGTTCATGCTAGCAACTCGTGAACGGAAGAGACCAGTTAGCCGGACGCTTACCCTGCTGTGCTGAGTGTCTGAACTCCATAAGTACGGGCACGCCCCAGCACAGAAGTTGGCGTTGTACCCTTTGGGCTCATGGATCCATTTCCACCCAAGATCCCTCTTGAAATCAATGTAAAGAGGACGCAGGCAGCAATTATCCTGAACATTTCTGTCAAAAGAAGAGCAACGGAGAGGTTAAAGCTGATGATGTCCCCCCCGCCTCATCCCAAACCGCAAAGATGACTCACTTATTCAACAAATAAGCAAATATCGCGGGCCAGGTTTTGTGGTTTTATTATAATCTAAGGGACTTTCACGATGGGGTATTACGGTGATTCGCTGGACTACTTCCCTTTCTGAGTTCTATACCCTGACCCTCTCTCTGTGACCTCAAAAATCAAGCCTTTCCCTTGAATGTCCAGATATCAGCAGAGCGGGGGCTGACGGAGACCAAGGTGTCTCCCACCGACAGGGGTGCCGTCTGGCCCCTACTGCCCTTCAAACACACAATGAAGCACAACGGCTGTTTTCAACGTGCCATCTAAGACAGTTTCTTTCCTTTGAAAATAAATCCTTTATTTCATTTCATGTTTCTTCATCTAGGGATGAACCAGAGATGAAAAAACATGGAGAGTTCACTTAGTGCCCACCAGTGGCTCTACAACCAAGCACGATCATTTTACTTGTGAAGTCTGACGCGGTGGGGACACCTCACTGCCCCACGGCTCTTAAAGCAAAGAGAGAACCTTCCTCTCAGCGGAGTAGGAACCACAGACGAGCAGTCACATGGGAACGGGAGGGAAATCGTGTTGCCTTCCCTTCTCTCGCGCTCTGCAGCTAGAGACGTGACAAATCACGTTCTTTGTCTTTCGCTCCAGTGGCAGGGCCGTGAGCATGGGCAGTGCAGTGAGGAAGGCCTCATGCAGGTAGTGGTGGTGGGGGGGTGTCCTGTCTAATCAGGGAGCCACCGCCATGCCCCTCAGGTAAACTTCCATCAGCTCATTCCCTCCTTCAGCCCCAAAGCGTTTCAGAGAGATTTTAGGGAAACACTCAGGGAGCTCGCTTTCTCCCTTCACACTGGATTCACTGCTAAAGAGATGATGACTCCAACACAAACGGCTACGCGAAGCCTCTAGAAAGAACAGCGAACAGTATGAGGTGCGGTGGCTCCGTGGTACTGTCCACTCGGCCTCAAGCACCGGGCGAAGTTCAAGGCGGTTTGCAGTCAGGGGAAGGGCAGAGGCAGAAGGAGCTACCAGACTTGTGCGAATTTTAATCTCCGTTACCTAAAACAATAGGCTGCGTCCAGAGCACGCTTCTTCCGCCGATTGGACTGTTGTGACTCCAGTCTGTAGGAGGGCAACAACATTAGCAGGAGGTGTGGGGTCTTCCCACTGTTTTTTTTCCTAGTGGACTTTATAGTTTTCTGATCACCACTGGTATATGTGGAGGTGCCATCAATACCTTGAAAAAATGCATTTGGGTGATAAACATTTAGCTTTACCTTCATCAAATATCATCAGCCATAATTTTTTTTTTCTTTTCTTTTCTTTCGTATACTGTCACAAATAGCATTCCCCACAAAGACAGAGAGGGCGTACGACAGGGCTACCGCAGGTGACAAGGGACACTGTAAACGGGGCTCCAAGGCAGGGCTTGTTGCTTAGGAAAGTCACTATAGAAGGAGTCTTTGACCTCCGGTCCAAGGGCCATGTAGGCAGGGAACTTCTGGCAATCCTCAGCTCAGGCTGTGCTCGACCCCTCCGTGACCGGCACAGCGACAGAAACTGCCTTGTCACCCGCTGGTTCGCTCTCTTCCTGGGACCACCAAACTCTTTCCTAACGAACATAAGCTGAGGCTTACACTAAATTGCAGTGAATTCGGTTCAAGTGGAACAGAAGTCACCCTTACCTAATGCTATTTTGGGAAGCTGGATGGAAAGAAAGGGCTTTTTCATTTATTTTATGGCATCCTCAACGCTTTCCCGATTCCGTCCGAGATTCAGAAACTCAGGCTCCCCGAAGCACGCCCAAGAGACTGCCAGTTTAAGCATTTAATCTCCGCGCTCTGGAGAATCGGGATGAGGTTAGAGACTGAAATAAATCTCTCGACCTCGGGGGGTATTTTTCCATGAGCAGGGGCCGCCGTTAGCCTGGTCCCGGGCGGTGTTCGTGAGGGAAGGGAAACCAGCTCCCTGAACTGGTGGTACTGGAGGGGCCAGTGCCGAACCTGGGTGCAGACCCCCCTCTCCCCTCTCGTCATTCAGCGACTCGGTATCTGACACGTGAGACAGAACCCCGGGCAACCCCTTGTGAGCCTTGACTTTCGGCTAATTCGCTAACAGGTGAGCAAGAACACGGGGCAAGCTAAAGCCTTGTTATACGTTTATAAACTATTATAAAAGTCTGATAAGGAAGGCACTCAAAATCTCGGGCACCAGGGCTATAAAAGGCGAAGTGTCCCCGTGTGTGTAAGGCGAGTTAAAGAGGCTGGCAGAGCGGGGAGAGGGGGGAACCCCTTCTCTGTGAAATGCAGTTGTGGGGTCCTGGCACTGGAATGGGGGTTATCAGTGGACTGACTCCCTTGAATGCACGCTCTCCTCTGCTATAACATCAGCATGGATGGGAAGTTAGTTTGCTTGAATGAAGAATCGAGGGCTTAACCGACAATTTAATAGTTTGGAGGGTTGTTGAGTCGGTCAGTTAGCATCGCCGAGTCAGCCGCGCGCATCCAGCAGCGCATACTACGCCCTGAGCCCTTCCTTCCTTCCAGTCCTTTCTGCCTTCGTATATCTCTCTCCAACCCCATCTTTGCCTAAACGAATGAAACCTCCCAGGCCTCACCAAACACTCCCATTTTCACATGCAAACTGACTTCCGTCTCCCAGAAAATGATCAAGAGGCCCTCCCCTCCCCCACCTCGGACAACCCACCGAGTTGCAGTTACCTGCGAATCTTGCTTCTAGTTCTTCGCTTTTATTGGGGATGATGTAATTGTTAGACGGCACGAAGGTGCAGCAGGGGCAATGTAAACTTATTTTAAATCCCAGGTTTCTGTCTGGAAAACAGGAAGTCAAGGAGGTCATGGGTCTGCGTGTCTACGCCCTGACTCCTGCAGCCAGGGTCTCGCTAACTTAGGGTCGCCGGGCACCTAGGGAGGAAAAGGGAGGGCGCCCGTCACCTTTGTGGTGGAGCCATTCGTGAACAGCATCCGTCACGTCGAAGGACAGCCATTCGCCCTCTGCCCTGGTCTTCACGACTTTGCTGTCGATGTAGCGCTGGGCCGGGGACGTCAAATCTTTGGATTTGAGGATCTGGAGGAGGAAAGGGCGAGAGGAAGGGCTCGGTTGGCACACTGACCGCACGGCTAAACCCAAACCTTGAACATGGAATCCCCACTCGCTAGCTCAGTGTCGCTCCCGCTCGAGTACATCCACGAATCGTCCTCTGCTCGGCGTGGCCGCGTGTGTAAAAACGCGACATCAGGCCATCTGCCGTGAAAAACAGAGCTACTAAATCAGTTGTGTGTTATGATAAGGTGACAGGAACCATAAAGCCAAGTGTCTAAAAGAAAGTGACAGTAATGATTTTACTTTGCTGACATAAGCTTTGCGAGATTTCAGCCATAAATTCTATGCTATTAAGTTAATGGTTTTGTTACCCTGCTTCCCCACTTATTTAATTTGGGGAGCTGGGATGTGGGGAGGGGTCCTTTTCGGAGGAGGGAGCCATGCTCACCCTCTACGGGCCCCGAATTATAAATCTCCTTCTAATAAAGAGAGAAAGGTTTTAACCCCGGTTCCTAAATCCACTGACATTATAAAAATGTGGCCTCAGCTTTGAGGTGAGTCTCCAGCTGGGGTTTTTACTCTCAGTGTGACTTGTTATGATTTATAAAGATTTTCCACATCCCACAGACCAAGAATGGATCTGGGCAGGAGAAGTCTGGCATGATGTGCAGCGACAGTCTGAAAGCAAATCACCCTGAACACGGAGATGTAGAAGGATACATTCACTTAGAAAAAATAAAGAGAGATTCCAGAGTGATCTTGGGTTTCTGTAGGAGGTGGACCTTTTGGGTGGTTTTTGAAACTTCTTTAAATGACGGTGTTTTTCTTAATCATTCAAAGCAAGATGCTGAGTCTCCTGGAGCTACATCAGCCCCTTACCCAAATCTATATCCTGCCTTTCTTCAGGATTTGGGGGCTCAAGCTCTGTCATTTTACACTGCCTTTCCTGACACCGAGTCTAAGTCTTCTGTGGTCATTTCACCCAAATGGCTTTGGTCTCTAACAAGTCCATGAGCTTCCGCAGGGATTGTGTCCTCAATCTGATATCCTTGGAAGGCACAGCATTCGATTCGATCGGTGTCTGTGGAATGATTATCTGAATATCTAGAGGATTTATTTACTCTCCTTTGAACCTTGGAAAACGAAAATGCATAGTCTTCCTGTTGCTTTGAAAATGTACTTCTCTTCCATGCATACATGATTGGTTTCAGGTCATTTGGCAACAAATGTGTCCTAGAATATCTGGCACTATAGAACTTTTTTCCTCCAGATTAAGTAAGCTTAGAAAAGGAAAACGATTTACACAATTGGGTTTTGAGGTGTCTTCATGAATTTTGGACAAACTCTACTCTACAGACCTGCCCCTAAGGTCCAACAAACCCCACTAAGAGGAGAGAATCTAGTCGTGGTTCTCCCCATAGGCAAGAGATTCTCTTTGTGAATTAAAAGAAGCAAGTAAACACGGTATGAGGGCACATGTTATTTCATTTGATTTAATCCCCGAGATATTCCTGTGAGGTAGATTAAGAAAACAAAACTCTGGGAGGTTAAGCGTCTCCCCGAAAGGCCTCACAGGGAGGCCTCACTCTCCCACGTCAGTGCTGGAGTTTGAAGACCAGAGGGTTGGGGGAGTCAGGCCTGAAACATCATTCTTCATTACCCGCTTCCGGGTGACAGAGACCATTCAATGCTGGAGGCAAAGATTTTCGAGAAGAATATAATACAGGATGGTACGAGATGAAAATGTAAAATGTGGAAGGCATGGATGCAGTGAATGCTGACATGAACCTATAGCGTTAAAGATACGGCTTTTAACAGCAGCCAATCCTTTAGAAATCAAACCTCACCTTGAGAACACTCCCAGCTGAACAAGTAAGATACCACTTATCCAATTCAGAATAAATGGTATAATTAACCCAACCTAGGATAATGATAAGACAATGGTGGGGAAGACATTTTCAGGCATTTCCATCTGCCTCGTTGTCTAAAACCCACTAACATACTCAGAATTCATTTTCCTGTCTTTAAATTTCTTCCCCTAATTGACCTCCTATAATGATGCATTATTTCCTAATGCTCTGATAATTGCTTTGCTCCTAATTAGAACGGTGTATATCTTATTCATCTTCATATCCTTAACACTTAGACACACTGTCTAGAACGAAACATTGCTTTCTCTGCTGAATGAATCACATATGCCATATATATACATATATATATATATCATATATCTAATGTCTATCCATGATATCTATCCATGAGACATCTATGTATATATACAGTTTCACTGAAGACAGAATTTTTTAAAAAAGATCATGACAGTATTGACCATAATGGCAGAAAATACTCTTTCCAATCTATGGAAATTCTTCACCTCATAGAGAAGAATAAATCTTGATGATCTTGCTTTAGAAACAGACCAAAGGGGAGCAAAAATATTCTGAAACTTTTTAATCTCATTAGATCAGTGCTTCCTCTACCACTGAATGAATGCTAGTAAGTTCTGACAACCGACAGCTTTATATTATCATGTGGGCAAAAGGTCTTCTATAGCTTTTTACGAGTTCAAGAACAGGCCAATTTAAACCACCCGAGAAAGACGGCTAGCTAGCTACGTAATTCTGAAACAGAGAAGTAACTCTGGTCTTGCTGGTGTGCTGTCTCGAACTTTCTGGCCAAGGAGTGTTCTTAAACCCACTTGCTGCAATGTGACTCCTTTTTTTCTTATCCAGTCCTCGGTGGAAACAGGAAACAGCTGCTCTCCATCATTCATAGAATATCCCTCATATTCTTGGAGACTATTATTAAGTCCCCCTCAGCACGCTCGCTCTCTTTCTCTAAACTAAATAAACCCAGTTCCTTTAGCCCATATTTAGAGGAGCCGTTTCTCAAACCTTTAATCGCGTGAGTCGCTAACCAGGATGAATGATGCTTCATAAAAGTCCTCCTCCCACGGCTTCGTGATTTTGCTTCAGGAAAGCTTCTAATCACACGGCCAACGCTCACATCTTAACTAGAAAGGTATCTTCTTCCCAAGAATAGACACAATTTTCCTATTCTCTGTTTATGTCCCATGTATCGCCCATGCTAAATTAAACTGTAAAGGAAGAACATCAACCCGCTGCTATATTACTGATTAGTACTTTCTTAACTTCAAGCATTTATACAAAACGACCAAACAGTCTAATCACACGGCCAACGCTCACATCTTAACTAGAAAGGTATCTTCTTCCCGAGAATAGACACAATTTTCCTATTCTCTGTTTATGTCCCATGTATCGCCCATGCTAAATTAAACTGTAAAGGAAGAACATCAACCCGCTGCTGTATTACTGATTAGTACTTTCTTAACTTCAAGCATTTATACAAAACAACCACGCAGCTTCCTGTTCTATTTCGGCCTTTGCCGTGTGCTCTCCTCTAATCTCTCAACAACAAGTGCATGGAGTGTTCACAGTCGTGAACATGCAGCTGTCGCTTTTAAATTCCTTTATGCATCTTATCATGACAAAGATAATTTAGTCGAACAGTGGAAGCTCTCTTAACTGGCCTCCTTTTAACTGGCTAGATTAACTGGTGTTGTCCATTTGTTCTGTAACATATACCAGCTGATGGCCACGGCATGCTGGGGCTCATGGCAGGCGACTGGCTAGTGTGTTCCAAGTGCACTGGCCTCACTAAGTGGCATCGAACGCTTAGCGAGTATCAACTGTATATGTTTCTGAACCTGTTTCGGATCGTCGGGCTTGATATTGTAATTAGGCAAGTTAATTAAATGGTCTAGAAACCGATGAACTATGGGACCAAAGTAAAGAGAGCTGTTGCTACGGTGAAAACCAAGTTAAATGTCTTGAAAGGTCTTCATAAAGATGAGTCACTTTAAAAAAAAATTTTTTTTTTTTTTTTTTGAAAAGTTTAGTGGTTCCTCAAAAAGGTGAATATAGAATTGCCATATGATCCAGGAATTCCGCGCTTAGGTATAAACCCAAAAGAAAGCATGGACTTTGGGTATATACAGCAGTGTTATTTACAATAGCTGAAAGGTGAACACAATCCACGTGTCCATCAGTAAATACAGGATAAACAAAATGTAGTATATACATACAATAGAGTATTATTTAGCCATAGAAAGGAATGAAATTCTGACACATATTACGACACAGATGAATCTCGAAAATATTATGCTAAGTGAAATTAGCCAGACATAAAAAGACAAATATGTTATGATTTCACTTATCGGAGGTTTCTAGAATAGGCACTTCATAGAGATAAAAAGTAGAATAGAGGTTATCAGGGGCCGGGGGTGGGGACATGAGGAGTAATTGCTAAATGGGTACGGAATTTCTGTTTGGTTTAATTCGAAAGTTCTAGAAATGGATAGTGGTGATGGTTGGACAACATTGTAAATGGACTTAATAACACTGCATTATATACTTAAAAATGATTAAAAGGTAAATTTTATGTTCTGTATATTTTGCCACAATATTTTTTTTAATAATTTCAGATGCAGCAGAGACAGCTATGAAAGAAGTAACAAAAGGAATATTGTGACAACAACCTAGAAGGATCCTGCACTCAGACTGCACAGCGATTGTCCCGAAATCTCTCTTTTCTTCAAAGAAACTAAAAACTAGGAATTACAGGTGATGCATTATGGATGCAGTTCACGCAAAAACTGTGACATGGGTTGGCAGTAGGGAGAGCCACAGACAAAGATGAGTCTTTGGCCTTTTATAAAAACTCAGCACGTTTTTTTTGCACGTGTGTGTGTGTGTGTGTGTGTGTGTGTGTGTACAGATGTACACACATAGATGTTTTAAGTTAAAATATTTAAGGTCTGCATTCTCTCTCTCCCCCTGCCCCATGTTTCTATAATCTCCTGCTTTAATTTTTTCTTTAAATAACAGACCAACCACTATTCCTGACTAAATTAGAAAAGAGGGCTTCCAACATACTGAAAATGAGATTTCGCTGTCTATCACGTTGCTACCGCCCACACGATGCATTCGTGTTACCTTCATTAT